TGTTTTCTTGAGGACCTTCGTCATGGTTTCTTCTCGCTTATTACTTTCCCAGAGGTCAACGCAGACTCGCTCGTTCGAGTCTTTTTTTCTTTTTTGTGCGCTCATTTTGCGACTTCATCTAAATCAGGGAACCCAGCAAGTCTGTTTACCGAAGTGTCGCAGGGGTACGAGCGTGCGCGTCAAGGAAGAAATAATGCGGAATGACCAAGCAAGTCATGCTGTCGGGTCCCCGATCGGCTCAGGCGGCGTTGGCCCACAAAGTTGCCTGGGAAAACAGTCGACACCAACCTCCAGCACCTGGTTTGTGTTAAGTACGCTTCCACTTCTTTCCCAATCACTCAATTTTTTTCGCACAGATTTCTCCACCAAAAAAATTGCACAAAAATGTTGTCACAGGTTTTCAATGAAATGCTGCCGTGACGTTAAATGATCATTTCAACGCACTGCGTGAGGTCATGTAGCAGGAAGTCGACAAATGGAAGTTGATACAATCGAAAGGTGAATCGACACACACTAGCTGGAAGTTGAAACAAACTAACAGGAAGTTGGCACACTGTAGGCGAATGGCAGCTCACTAAACGGATGATGGCGTGATATCAACTACCCGATAAAGGAAACAATCTTACCGGAGTTGTCTGAAACTAGCAGAAAGCGGACAGACAAAAGCTGGGCCTTGAAACAAACTCCTGAGCAATTGACGTGAACGAACAGGAAGTTGAAATTAGCAGCGAGCTGAGGCAGACGAGCAGGAAGTGGACACGCATGATCGGGAACCCGAAGCTCACGAGCAAGAAGCTGACAGGCACAAACAGGAAAATGAGAAAATCTCATCAAAAGATGGCCTGAACAACAAGAAAGTTGAACCAAACTAGCAGAAATCGACAGCAGCTAAAAGGAGGTGGCCACACATTATCGATGAGGGTTAGGGATCGAATTTCGGTTGAAAGCCCGAAATTTGGGTTTTAAAGCTGCCTGGGCGAGGCTTTTAAAGGAGGATTTGAAGTCAAAACGAAGCTTCCAAGCTAGGGGAGGTTTTTCATATCATGTTGAACGCGAACTTATGAATGCAACATTTCCAACCGTGATGAAAAATGTTTGTGGTTGTCAAAAAAGGTTCCCGCTCCGTTCTCCCCAATATTGACAAACGTGCACGAACACGAAAGAAAAAGTCACCAAATACTCGTGGCCTCCCCTTTTTTTTATTTTTTTTATTTTATTATTATTTTTTTCTTCTCTCTCTCTCTTCGCTGGCCGCCTCCGCACTCAGGAAACCGCAAGTCATTTTCCATCTTTCCATGTGTGGAATTTTTCATGCTGCCTTCACGCCAGCGGCCCCCTTTACACTCATGAGCAGAGGCTCATAAATTTAGCGCATGATCTCACCCGATTGGCGACCAATCAGTTGGACTCCACCCAGGCATGCGGCGCGGCTTTTTTCAAATAACCACACCAGGCGACAACATTGCCAGGGGGAAAATTTGCTTGAAAAAAAAAAAAATGTTTAAAAAAAAAAAAAAAAAAAGAATCAAAGGGAGGGGAAAAGCCCCTCCCCACAAAGCGATGTGATGTTATTTTCCAGAGCCACCGGAATGAAACGTGCAGACATTTGGGGGTCATGTCACATTTTAAAGGGAACTTAAAGAAAGATGCGCAGCATCTGTTGGGTGTTTTTTGGTCCAATCCAGTTAAGAGCGAAAACTCCAATATAAAAAATAAACTACAGAAAAAAGATGGCATACACGGTGGTCTCGACGCTCGGGTTTCCCAGATTTACACTTAGGCTTGGTCACGCCACATATTTCACACACACACACACACACACACACACACACACACACACACACACACACACAAATAGCGGTTGCATAAAAGTGACATGGAATGTTTACGTCCACTGGTGCCGTGGCATCATGCCCCAGAGTGCAACGTGAGCTTCCGCTCAAATCCCGCAGCTGCGCAGCCCCCAACCTCCACCCCGCCTTCACGGAACATCCCGACAAGCCCTCAGCATGACGCAAAGAATGATCTGACACCCGGGCCTCATTTCCAGTTTTGATAATTGATCCGCCGTTTATTTGTAAAATGACAAAACTATTCTTGCAATCTTTTTTTGAATGTGTAAACTTTTTGGAGTAAAAATCCCTCATTCGTAATTGTTTTTAAGATAGAAGTAGAGCACGTCGGATTTCCCCCCCTTTTATAAGAAATATATATATTTTTTTTTAACTGAAAGAAAAAAAAAAAGAAAAAATCATGCAATATGACCGGCATCTTTGAAGCGTTACAGATACTTGGGCTTTTGCTGAAATAGCAAAAAGAGCAAATGTGACGATAACCATAGAACTGGTTATGGACATTAATAGAGCATCGCGGTACCATGGCGACAAACACACTTCTCACACGGCAACATTTTGCAGAAAGTGTTTTGCCATTTTTTTGTGATGCCACCACCGAAGCGGGGAGGGCGCAGGGTGAAACGTGATGCTAACCACTGAACCAGATATGGACATTACCAGAGTGTAGCGGTAGCATAGCTCCGGAAAATTCCCACCGAAGAGTTGTCATCCTACCTGCTCCTGCTTCACTTGTCATCGTGTTGAAAACCTGGAAGAACAACAACAAAAAAAGAAAGAGCCAATGTGGTCACACAATCATTTTGGTCAAAATTAATCAGGTGCTTCTGAGGCAAGCTGAAATGCGTAAGAAGTTGACAGATTTGTTTTCGGTAAGCTGGGCCTCTCGCTGAAAGCCTGGACGACGACAACGTCAACATTCCTCTCCGTTTTCCTGCCTGCTCTGATTTACACACGCCTGCTTTCCACATTTTTCCCCTGGCGGCGACTCGGCCACTTTCCACCGCCGTTGACCTTCTCTTTGCGTGGCGCGCTCGCGTTTCCAACATTCTGTCGCTGCGTATATTTTGAGGGGGACCGCGGCCGGTCGCGTTCTCTAAAATACTGCAGCAACTGCGCTCGTCACTCAAAACATTCAAAACTCAAATCATCTTTCCGATTGAAATGGATGGAAAAGACATTCATCCATTCCAGCCCCCTCCCAAAATATCCCCTCAAAATGTATGTGTTCTTGATTTAGGAAAAAGGGCACTCTAATATTTTACGTGATGAAAACAGAGTAATAATATGCTCATTTTATCATCAAACGCCAAAATCTCTCTGTTGGAGTATTGAAGAGAGTTGACATTCCCTTCAAAAGCTGTGGGGTCGGAATGACTCATCACAGCCAAGCCCTCTGGCACGGCATGGGAAAGAAATTGCTTGAGTTAAACTTTCCATTTGACAACAAAACGTGCAAAATTGTGAACTGTTTCATTCATCCTTTTTAAGAGGCCCCGTTGTAAGCGATGTCAATGCCCTTCGACGTGGACACTTTTCTCGCAGTCTCTGTGGAGGCAACCGTCCTCGCCCGCATGTCTGTTCATGCCGCCACATCTTCCATTAACCCCTTAAAATCGGACGCCTCGTCGGGCGTTCGTGCCTCGAGATTTAACCCAGCAATTAGTTTTGCTGGATTTTCACACCTTGGCCACCAGGAGGCAGTATGAACGGTCATGCAGACGCAAAGGAAAGAAGAATAGTACAGTACTCGTTCTTTTTTAACTATTTTGGAAAATGAAAATAGATTTTTTTAATGTCCTCAAGACAATATAAAGACATGGAAATACATATGAAGAGAGTACAAGATTAACAGAAAACAATATTGTACGAACAACATAAAATACAGAAACACTTTTCAAAAATCTCCCAAACAGTAGGACCACAAAAACTTTTTTTTTTTTTTTTTTTTTTTAATTGTCGCCAACCAAAGGGAAAGCAGCAATCGGGAGAAAAGAGACTTGCCTACGTTAGAGTGCCGGTAGTGAAGTAGCAAAACAGGGCTGTCACAATGATTGATGGCGGATGTAATTAGGTCTTGTCAAAAATGTCAAGACGACACTTGGAGCGCAAATGAACCTTGCCGACAATCTGTCGGCAATGATAAGATTCATCTCCATCATCGCGCATGACAGTACGACAACACGCTAATCAGCAATAACAAATATACGCGAAACACTCTAACCAGAGATCGATAATAGAATTATTCAATAAACAAAACCTACAAATGTAGTGCTGGATTGAATTGAATGGAATTCAATACAAATGAATTTGTGTTAGAATGAATATTTTTCAACTTTTATGTTTTTGGATGAATAATTCCTGGCCTATCTGTGATCATACAATCAATTACATGACTAAATTCATGCTCGTTTGAAATTGTAAAAAAATAAAATAAATGGTAATAATCATTTCTGAAAATGTATTTTAAAGCATTTCACCAAAACCAATTTGCTGCTCATTGAACAATACAATAATACTTGATGTGTTCAATTTATCCTGTGCTTAATAACGACTAATATCACTGCAACTCGCTGAGCAGTTGTGACCGTCTTCTTCATGTATGACACATGAATGTGTTACGGTGGCTCTGTCGACCAAGGTGTGCATTAAAGCGTGAAATCTCTTGACACCTTTAAATCTTTCCATTTCATGTCTGTATAAATTACAACACTGTGAAGTGCAAAAACACACCGCAAAAAAAATGTTTCCATTGATGTTTTTATGAGCGCCTGGAACGGATTCACGGCATTTCCATTCACTTCAAGGGACAAGATGATTTGTGTGTATTGAGTGTGATCAGGGGATGAATTAAACTTGCAAGTTAAGGCACGAAGTTACTGCACTTTTTTTTTCTGCCGAGTTATCTTCACAAATACAGATACGTATTTTGGGGGTTTCTCTGACAAGACAAACAGTTGAACTAATCAATCTCCCAAAGTAAATAGAAGCAACCAGCACATTCCATCTGAGATTTGCGCCACGATGATGCAGATATTTTGCGATTCTGACGAGGTGGCACAAAAAAAAAAAAGTATCCAGATTCTTCCATAAAAAACATCTCACTGGAGAGAGAAGTCCATCTGTGTCACATGGCTGCTTCCCACCGTCGTATGGAGCGCTTACATAAGAAGAGCATTTTTGTCTGCATTTTTTATTTTCCCGCCGAACAACAAAATGTCTCAGGGCAAAACAGAGACGGTGGAATCCGGCGCTCTGAACCCTGAAACATTCTCAGCTGTCTTGAACGCGGGCTTCTGTCGCTTTCCAGTAGAAAGCGACAGCTGGCGTCTAATTTGAGAGGGCAAACCTCACTCTAAAAGGCAGACCTCCACCAAGGCTTCCACATTTGCTCATTGTAAAAATCGTCATCTGCTTGACTCGGGTTCCGGATGAAATTGAACTCCTTTCAGCGATCACAATTGACATGGCTGTCAGACGTGACGGTGGTTGTGGCGTGCTCTGTCTACTTTACTGCCAAACTGGATCTGATCCAGATGAAGTCGTGATCAACAAATTCCATCTACCGTATTTTCACCACCAAAAGGCGCGCTTAAAAGTCTTTCATTTTCCCCAAAATGATTCTGCTTCTTCAGAGGCTGCAATGCTCATTAGCATCGTCCCGACCAAAAACATGCGCTATCCAAGGAACTGAGCGCTACGTCGGCATGTCGGGAAGGTGTGGGAAAATCGCAAAACTCACCACTCTGTTCTCTGCGGAGGCACGGCGAGGATCGCAAGATCCGATTCGGCTCGCACGTTCGGGCTTTGCTTCAACGCCCGGCGAAACGACATCAGAGGGACATTCGGCATCCGTTTGTCTGTCCAACCCAGACCGGAATAAGACAAGACGGGACTGGAGCAAAACAAAGGCTCGAGGTCGAGAAAGCAGAGTCCTCGACGAGCATTCGACGCCAACACAGGAGCTCGTATGCGTCCTTTGAGAGGACGGGGACGATGACCCAGTAAAGCATCCCAGTAAAGACGACTCGGCCCGTCGGCGCTTTACAAGCCAACAGCAGCGAATGCCGGGGCCGCTTCTGCAGATGCCTGCCAGGCATTCGCCAGCTCCTGGGAAGCATCCCCAAAAGAGCCCAATGGAAACAAACACAACAGCTCCTCTGTGGCCCACGAAAGGAGACTTTTGTGCACTGGGCGCTACCTCGGCTGGCCGGCGAAGCCGCCGGCATCGGAATGAATACAATGGCCGCCTGTTCTGGCTCGCCCTTGTCGCTTGGAGGACGTGCGGTACCAGATCAGGAAAAACAAAAAGTCAGACGGATGCGCGACAAAGACGGCAGTGTCCTCTTCTTTTGAAAGAAGAGGACGACGCTCTTGTGAGGAATCCAAACCAAGTTCCAATTCAGTCCCGACACTTGACGCTTTAAGGACTGTGTCGCACTCCGTGATGGGAAGGAACTCAGTTCAAACACTTGCTCACTGTGCTTCACCCCTCGCTGGCAGCCGTTTTGAAAGCCCTTGCTCATCTTTGAGGCCTTTTTCGAGCATTCTGACTGAACTTTCAGGACCCACAGGGCATTGTGCTCCATGTAAGCACCAACGCGACAGACACAAAGACTACACTGGCTTCTTTGACCAGAAAAAGTTTGGGGAAAAGAACCTCATCAAGCACAACAGTGATGACGACGTGAATATTTTACAAGTGGAGCCAATGCCTGCTAGCTAAACAGCTATATCCTGCTTAGAAAACTGATTTTGGCCCAATTGACGGCACGACCAGGAATGCAGCGTAAGCTTTGTAGGAATGTCATGCGATGCCCGAGAGCCTCCGAAATGGCAGAGCCAAAAGCACCAACAAGCCTTCTCCGGTCTGAATCATGGATGGGTTTGGAAACTGTGTGTGTGTGTGTATGTGTGTGTGTGTGGGGGGGGGGGGGGCCTGGGGCC